TCTCTTCGTATTCTTCGCAGTCTTTCCAATCGCTGTCGTCTGCGATACTCTCGGCTTCTTCGGCGCCAATTCTCGCGCATCCGTTCCCTATAGGGGTCGACCGGTCCGGGAAAGGCCTGAGGAGGAGGTGCCATAAATGGGTGCATAAATCCATAGTGGGGTTGAGGGCGACGGACAACGTTCACCGCATCGAAGACATCGACGTTTTGGTGGTTGTGTCGGATTTCGGTGATAGGGATGTGATAGGGATGTGACACTCGGGACACTCCCGGCGCTCACGAGTCGAGTGTTGCAAACATTGCAAACAGAACTCAGAACTCATGCTTACATTCGTCTGTTTTGTCTGTTTGTGATCTTCTTCTTACAGACAAAACAAATGTCTTTCTCGTCCTCACCGACAGTCGTATTGCCATCAGATGTCTGTCCACTGCCCGGGCTTTCACTGCTCTCCTGTCCGCCGTCTGGGCTCTCCTTCTGTGCCTCAGAAGTGCCCGTCTTTTCCGATTCACTCGATTTGGCGGAACTGGTGGTCGCCTCCGGTTCCTTGGCTTTCAGAGAACCGGTAGATCCGGACGACGAACCTGTCTTTGAGGCCTTGACTGCCGACTGGTCTTAGCGGACGAATCAGAAGCCGATTTCGAGACCTGTTTTGGATCTTTGCTTTTGTCTGTCTTTCTTGTCTTCACTCTTATCGGTAGTCATCGTTTGCTTTACTCTTGAGTTGAATCTCAGGTCAGACTATGATATGAGTTGTGAACCGATTATCCGTTAAAACTTTCATTTGTTTTAGTTTTCAAAACCTTACGCATTGTTAAGAATGAGATTAATTAGACAACTATTGCTATCATTTATATCATATACCGATATAATGCATGCATTTGTATGTATTGTTTAATTGTGATCACTGTATTACATTATTGAATGTTATAGTTTTTAAGGTATATTTTCTGTTCAATTACTTCTTGAGACCACAACTTCAGAGAAATTGATACAATTTTTAAATAAAACACTGTTTGATATGAAATTACATTTTTGCACTTTTTTCATCAATTCTTGATTCCCTGAGAATTGCATTTCATTGTAAGAATTGGAGTCAAACTGTTTACCCATTTACCGGTTTAAACATTTGTCAATTGTGAGTATTAGTGACTATTGTAGTACATGGACAACATGTATGTCCATAGTTTAGGGCCTAAACTTTAGGCTACCGGTGCTAATCACGAATGTGGTCTCAAAAGTGCGAATAAGAAAACTATTGCATAAGTCATGCAGTCATTGAACTCTCTCTGCAGACGTAACGTATGTTTTGTCTGAATGTGAAAAACAGCTGTTTTTGTTGACATTCACTGAAATACTGATTGTTTTGAATCATGTATTCATTGAGTCATCGATTTTGTAAATTAAGTAAATTTGGCTTAAATTGTGTCAAAAACAGCGCTTATTATATCCATAAGACACACAAACTATGGCCACAAGCGATGATCGACTGCAGACCTATGAGACAATTGTCGACCGATAATGAAAAGTCAAATGAAGAGTCATTTGTCTACGAAATACCGCCACTCATGAGGTTTACACCCAAAGGGATGCCTAATGTGTTGTATGCCCTCAAGAACCGACTCATTGTCTACTTGTATTTGAAGCCATTCTTAGACAAAGACTTTGATCTCAAGAGTTTCCTATTGGGAGCCAAACAGGTATTCAATTCATACAAAACTCTTACATATTTAGGTAAATGTCTTAATTGATTGGTATTTCATGCATTCCTCCACATCTTAGGCCTTATCGAGTATATCATCGAATTTAGCCAATGATAACATCCATGGCATCCAAGACATGCTCACCGAAGAAGTTGTTTTATACATACTATTTGTTATTCAATACACAATAAACACATGATTTGTCCTCACATTCAAAGGCTTACGAAGAGGTGTCGAAGAATTTTAGGGAATATTCATCGCAACAGAAACGACTGCTTAAAGTGGACACCGAAGACGTGCTCTTCTGCTTCCCCTATAATATCCAAATCGAGAGACAATGTATTGATTTTTGAACCAAACTATTATCACATTTAATAGCCATTTATATCCCAAACATTAGCCTCGGATGCGGCGGTCGTTAGGATATTAGTGGTCTTCGACTGTATCCCAGGATTTCAAGACATCATTCACAATGAGATGGCAAATAAAAACCTCAGACTCTTTGACATCAATAAGTATTTGGAAAATAAGATTTGCTGTAATTATGAGTGAGTTATCAAATACTCTACCATTAGTTTAGCGATGAGTTTGAAAATTGAATTTTGACTCTATTTTTATGATTAGATTTATTCGTCATTACATGAAAGGCCGACAAAGCGAATGGATTGTCAGCAAACTATTGCACATAAAGGACAGGGATTTACTCAGAATGTATGGTCTCTTTAGAAAATAATAGCAATCAATTTGTGTCCAGTAATAAAACCATGAGTTCTTATACTTCATATACTGGTAATTATCTCTATTACTGGTAATTATCCCCAAACGCCGATAGCAATGATCATTCAAATGTATATTTAATTGATTTTTATGTATCAAAATGTACCACAAAATTGGTGTTATCAGCGTTTATGACCCGTAAACTAATACCAGTTACCAAATCGGTTCTCAAAATCCATCTGAAACTCAATAAATAGAAAATATTTGGAAAATAACTTTTGCTATAATGTTGTTTGAATCATAGTTATGGCTGTGTTTTGCAATCAGATTTTCAATATCAAATGGATTCACATTTTTGTGTGAGAATTTCGGTGAGAATAATATTTGCTGATTTTGACCACAAATAATGATAAGAAAGAAATTATTATTTAAAGAAAATATTTGACAATAAGTTTTGTAAATATAAACTCAGGTCTCAGACTCTATGCAAACCAAAGGCAGGCATGAGATCAATATCGATGACAGTATAAGAGGGTTCGGGAGGAGTGAGAGAACTGTTAAGTAGTTGACAAACAATAGGCAAACTGTTTGTGAATTTGCGACAAATATGAGCCTACAGTAAGTCAGAGTACAATACACTATATTAGAGATGAATAATATTTTTGCAGAAAAACTACTATAAATAGTAAATGGAGAGTAAATTCGTGTGAAAAATGCCACAAATAATATGATTGTGTATTAAATTACTTGAAATTTTCTCTGCAATAACTCTGCGCTCATTAAAGGCAGAGTCAGTCGTGTCTATGAATTTTAATTCAACTCAATATATGGTTATTCCGTTGAATTGCTTTACAGAGCACTCACACCATAAGCTAACAGTGCAAAAGAACTCCACCATCCAGTCCATACATACACCACAACACAGTCCACACCAATACCTGCAGTACTATTCATATTTAATATTTGTCACGAAGTGTTGTATGAATTTTGTGCTTTAAATGAGAAAACATTTTTAGACGATAAAAGTTTGCATTAAAAAAAGTTTTGTATGTTTTGTGCAAATCAGGTCTGGAGAGAGAGGGGCAACACACGTATAAAGAGCACCGGGAGTGTGAGTGAGCACTCATACCACAGAATAAACTTCAATACAAACTTCCTCCTCTGAACACCACATTTGGATTGTTTTGCAATAAATAAAGAGTTCTTGTATTTTGAGTTGTGGTTTGCTTTCTTTTTTTGTTGTATAAAACATCATATATTATACACGTATTAGTAGTACTGTTAGTACAGCGAGTCGTAAAGAGTCGGGCGTTTCGCTGATGAACGCCAGCAGTGAGTGCTTTGAATGAATGATATGTTTTACAAATTGCTGGAAGTGTGCAATCAATCAATGATTTGAGTAATTGTCAGCAAACCTCTACAAACACCAAAACACACAAACAATGCACACAAACGGCTCTATTCCGCGCTATCATCAGCACGTGAACCGCCACTCGTGTCCGCCCACATCAGGACCGCCGCCGCCATCGGCCGCCAACTCCTTGCGATCGTCGGCCCCGTTGTCGCTGCGCTCGACCGGCAACTCAACGCTCTTCCGGCACTCCATAGCCATGGATTCAATACCCCTGTCCGACACCATAGTCTCNTGTGCTGACACGAGTCCATGAGGTCTCGGAAGCCTTTCTCCAAAGCATTGATGGCATTGAGTCCGGACTTCATCTGAATCTGAAGCAGAACTACGTTGTCGTTGGGATGCGGCAGAGAATAGCCACAGAACTGGACGTTACTGTTCTTCACTATCACATACCTGTCCATCAGATGGTCATTATATGAATGGTACGAATACATCAATTGGTGGCAAACCTGAGGGCATTGGCGAGAGTGTGGTCTTCGTCGGTGAGGGCAATGATAGCACATTCGCCACCATTTGTCATCTCAATCACTTCAAAGCGGGACTTAGTTTGCGCTGACATTGAGGCAAATGATCACTGAATTGATGGCAAACTAACTATTAATTCAATGAAAATCAAAACACATTTCGCATGAAATGCAATGAAAGCATGAATTCATTGACTGTTGTTATGACAACCCATGTGTTGATCACGTGATCACTCGATTGGTTTGATTGAAAACTTTGTATTGAATAATTTGTTTGAAGTTTTCATATGAAAAGTTATATCCAATTATATACAGTATTCCACTATTTATTAATTAATTTGATGTTTAGCTATCATTTTAAATATTTTATTACATCTACAGTAAAACTAAATACTTTTGGGTTAAATGATTGAATAGAAATGAGACCAGACTTTGTGTATTACACAGTCTAAGCAAAAAATAGATGAAATGAATATCATATCTCGAGAAACAAACAAAACTCGTAACAATTGGTAACATTTGACAAGAATTTGAATTAAAAGACAATTGAAAAGACAGTTAGAAATAGTAAGCATTGAAAGCAGTAAAAGACTCATTGAATTGAGAGATCAGTTACCAGTGATATCGCGATCGTAAGCCATGGTCCAGACAAAGCTTCCCAAACCCAATGTGATAATTATGGATCTGATGGGCACAGCCGTCAAAATGGGATTCATTGAGAAGATTCTGATGCCTTTCGCCAAAACAGAAGTGAAGGCATATTTGGAGGACAAATGGAAGGACAAGAAGTGTCAGAAAGATGTGGAGAGACTTCGCAAAGACGCCGAGAAGGACGAGAGCGGCCCGAAGATCGCGGCCGCGACTGAGCCCGAAGACCAACAGAAGGAGTCGGTCGCGGCTTTCGTCACGGCAGCCATTGATGGCAAGAAAGAGGGGAAAGGGATGCAAATGTTTAAATTCAATCTGTGGTTCTGGGGCTACGAGAAGGGTTCGCTCGAGACTCCCATCTACTCGGATGTAGCCATTCAGGTGAAGAAGTGGAAGGACATGGACATCAAGATCTATGTGCTCAGCAACGGGTGGATTGAGTTCCAGAAGAAGATCCTGTCGAAGACAAATCACGGCGACCTCAACCTCATGCTCGACGGCCACTACGACAGCAGCGAAGGACAGCTCAACAGCAAAGAGACGTTCGTTAGACTGTTGGCCAAAATGAATGCCAAACCCGAAGACACTCTCTTTATGACCAAATCAGGAGAGGGCGCGCGAGCGGCCAAAGAGGCCAAAGTGGCTGTCCTTCTGGT